GTATAGTGTTCATATGAGTTAAATGTTTTAGGAAATTAATCTTAAACAGTAGGCACGGTTGTAGCTGGGTGGTCTGGTGATGTGAGCAAATTATAGTTGCCTGCTTCATGGCACTCATTACAGGTCCTCTGAGTTGAAAGTGGTAGTTGAAATGATTTTTTTTTGTAGGGGAAAAACTTTGCAAAAGCTGGCTTTAGAAAGGAAAGAATTGAGAAGCTTTAATTCAAAGTTTATATCTGGATCAGCTGAGGCTTAGGGATCAGAGCTTCCAAGCTTATATCTTTGTAGCATTGCTTTGACATCATAAGCAACTTATGCAGTTGCCTTAGGGGGTGTGTGTTTGTCTGTGCAAAGTTTATACTTTGTTTGAGTAACAGCTGGAAAATTCATGCTTTCCAGTTTGGTCTCCATGGGTTGCTCCACACGAAGCAAACCCAGACCTCTCTGAACAGGCAGTTCTGCTGCTGCTGGTTCCAGGGACAGCTACAGCAGGAGACCAGTGGGCTGGGGTGGCTGGTGTGGGGCCAGCCGAGGAGGAAATGCCCTGGCTGCAGGCTTAGAAGCCATAGTTATGGGAAGTAAGAGAAATTAGTTACACAACAGCCAGGGGCAGTTATGGTTGTGCCATTCCTCTTGAAACCCAAGTTTTCTGTGAAGTTGTCACAGCCTCCAGGAAACACAAGGCTGCCAAATGCCTGTCTTTGCTGGCTGGCAGATACCCCACAGATGTTCTTCTTTCCCCACTGGGAATTCCAGAGTCAGGGCCACAGCTGCAGCTGTGAGCTGGGTGTGACAGTCACCCACCCATCCTCTGACTTGGGCTGGTTTGGTATTATCTGTTGGGCCCAGTAAAAGGAAGTTTTTGTACTCATGCTTAACTACAGATGTAACATACTTCTTATATCAGCATTGCTACTATTTAAAATGCCTTCCCTTGAGAAGAGACACAGGACTGGCATTCATGTGTTAGATCACAAGAGTTATGATATCTATTGATACTGAAGAGATATCAGTGATTTACCTACTGCCAACCTCCATTCACCCACTGCAGCTGGGCAAGGGGCTGTACAATCTCCTAAATGCTTTCTATTTTATAAGCCAAACTTGAAACTCAGAAAAGTGAAGCAGAGAGGCAGTGTGAAGGGGCAAAGGAAACGAAACAGAAACTGAAGAAAAAAACTGAGCTTCAAATTTGCTTATTATTTTCCACACTCCAACTCATAGACCCAACCCTGACATGCATCTGAATTTACAAAACTTGGTCTCTATTCCTCCCTTTTTCAGTAATCTGTTTGCTCCCTCAGCTCCTGTCTCATTTCTTTAGGAAAACAGATGAAACAAATAAACCTAACTTGGAAACTGATCTTAAGCATTGCTCAAACTGTAGCCACTGGAATGTGTGTTTCTGGTTCTCCAGAGCAGTAGTAGCAGTAGTATTGTTATTCTCACAGTATTATTACTGTATCATCCAGAAGCACTATGTTTGGAACAATGCCCAGCTATGCTGGATGTTATTCAAATATAAAAGAAAATCCCAGCTACAGTCTCAAGACCATTCAGTTTGACTGTGGAGAGAAAACTGAAATGGATGGACCCAAGAAGTCCTAGGAACACAAAAGTAGTATCAGGCAGTCCAAACCCAGTGGTCCTAGAAAGGAATTTGAGGGCAGCAGTTGTCTCAAGATGAGGACAGAGATGACGTCTCTGAGGAAGGTCATTGCTGAACATGTTGGTGCTGACTGTTGGGAGTAAAACAACTGAGGGGTGGGGACTTTCCTACCTAGAAACTTTACTCACACCATTGAGAGTCACACCGGGCTAGAAGTCAGGCAGAAGAAAATTTAATATGAAAATGGGAGAATCAACAACATTGTAAAATAATTTTTCAGGTATGCATGGAAGAGGAGAAAGTTTGGAAGTTGTATTAGTAAGGAATTTTTTCTATTAGATTTTTAAAAGATGAGAATGTTCTTGAGTTGGGTGGAGAGCAAGAGAACAAGGTGAGATGTTCCCTTTGTAGCATGTGTGACATTTACAAGGTATGCAAAGTCCTGGGCAACCTTTCCCATAGACACTTTCCTCAGCAGGAGCAAACATCTGCTTGGCATGCAAGGCAGCTCTTTGCCAGCTTTCCCTGCCAGCATTTTCTCTGCTGATACCATTCCTTACCCAGTTATCAAATGCAAAAGCTGTCCCCATTAGCTGGCAATGAACAGTATTTTCATCCTTGGTTAGGGGAAGACCCAGCAGCCTGAAATTAAAGGGCTGTGACATTACCAAAATAAGGAGGGAACATCTGTTACTTCTAAAGGGGAAGTAGCATCTTAATGGGTTACAGTTTAGTTTTTGCAAATGACTTGAAAGTGACATGAGGACTTTCATAATTCTCCTGGGTTTGGGGCTGGTTTTTGTTGCTTACATAAATGCAAGTGTGTCTGGTAAATTTTCCTAGTAGTCAGTTGCCTGTATCTATCTCCCTCTGACTAAGTCTGAGAACTGCAGATCTTTTATGCAGTGTGAACAGTTGGGGGATGCTGTTTTTTTCTAGCCAGCTAAGACTCAAACAGTGTCTGTCATCATGTCAGCCATATCCTGGGCTGCGTCAGCAGCACCGTGGGCAGCAGGGCAGGGAGGGGATTCAGCCCCTCTGCTCTGCTCTGCTGAGGCTCCACCTGCAGTGCTGAGTCCAGCACATGGGGTTCCAGCACAGGAAGGACATGGACCTTGGAGAGACCCCAGAGGAGGCCACCAAGGTGATCCAGGGTGATGGAGCACCTCTGCTATGAGGAAAGGCAGAGAGAACTGGGATTGTGCAGCCTGGAGAGGAGAAGGCTTTGGGGTGACATAACTGTGGCTTTCCAGGACCTGTAGGGAGCTGACAAGAAAGATGGAGCAAGACTCTTAACAAGAGCCTGGAGTGACAGGACAAGGGGAATGGGTTCAAACTGACAGAGGGAAGGTTTAGATTAGATATAAAGGAGAAACTGTTTGCTGTGAGGGTGGTAAAACACTGGGACAAGTTGTCAGAGAAGCTGTGGCTGCCCCATCCCTGGAAGTGTTCAAGACAAGGCTGGACTAGACTCTGAGCAACCTGGTCCAGTGAAAGTTGTCCCTGACCATGACAGGATGTTGGAATGAGATGATCTTCAAGATCTCCTTCCAACCCAAAACAGTTTGTGATCATCTCACTACAAGATGTCTCCCCAAATGTTACTCCAAAGATCTCTCTAATCTGTCGCTGCTGCCTGTACCCTACTCACACACAGTTAACCACCCCACCACCATGGGAGGTTTTACAGCATAAAGCACTCACAGACGGTAGCAATGCATAAAGGGCTTTAATAAAATATTGTCTTTTTGCAGGCTACAAACAAGGAAGAGTGGGAAATGCTGTAAATACACATTGATATATTGGTTCTGTACTGCAATGCTCAGGCCAACACTCACATCACTGTGGTTATCCAGGAGGAGAGTTTGGGGGTTTCAGAGTGTTTGCTTGGGAAAAAGCTGCTGGAATGCCCCAGGCAGTGGTGTGAGGCTGCACAAAAACCCTGCAGTCCCCAGATAGCCAGTTCTTTCCATGTGATGGCTTTTACAGTGGTACCAGCTGATCATCTGACAGATTAATGCAAATACAGGCAATGGGACATCCATTAAATTAACAACAACCACTAACTGATGCAAGATTCCCTGGCTATGTTTGCAACACAGACTCAGCTGCCTGCCTCAGAGGGTGTGAAATGGCAGGGAAATGGATCCCTCCCCATATAACCCTCAGAGGTTTCCTGTAAAGTGAATACGAACTAATACTGGGACACTGAGCATCCGTAAGTCCTCTGCAAGCAGAATTTCACTCCAACTCGTGTTGCTGTCCTTTACACACTGTTTTTGTCATAATTTCCTTTGGTTTGTAGGTCTTTGCTATCAAGTCCTTAATTTGTGCATGTGAAATGAACAAGAGTGAAGGACAGTGATCCACATATTAACTTAAACATTTGCAGCCCTATTACAGTGAGAGTAACTGCATGAATTGCTAACAGTTGTTGAGAGGAACTTTCATAATTTTGAGTGAGAAGATGGCTGCTCACAATCTACAGGGTTCTTTTTCTGTCTCCTCAGGGGAATTTGCTTTAGAAACTGTTTCTCACAATTGGTTTGCAGTCTTTGCTGATTATTTCCCTTCTGCTGTCTGAGCAAGGGTAAGGTTTCAGAGGGCTTGAGTGAATTCACCACCTGAAAAGAGGCTTGAGCTAGCACTGGTTGCCTCAGATGAAAGGGAAGCATGAGAGAAAAAGCAGAGAGGGTGAGAAAACCTCAGCAGCAATTGCCTTCATTAACTGTTCATGGGAACTAGTACAGCCTTAGGTTGTCCAGCAGAGATATTCACTTGTGCCCTGGTTCCATGGCATTGCAGAGTAGGAAACTCTTTGGTCTATAGAGGCAGAGTCTGTGATATGAAATTGGACAATTTCTGTGCTAAAATGCCCTGCTATTTACACTGGTACTGACAGCTACATTTTGGCCTAACTGCAAGGAAATTACAGCAATTGCCTTGTTACAGCTCTTCCTTTCTGCACCCAGGAAATCTCTGCCTGAATTTTCTCAGTACTCTTAATCATTCAAAGAGAATCTTACAGAGACACAGTGCAGACCCCAGACCTTTGTGTGGCCCAGTCTAACTCACAGGAGTGAGTTTAAAGACAAAACCAACATAGGAAGCATCCACACTTTACTTCAGAAGTTACTTGGCCAAACATGTTTCTGCAATTCATTCGTTCCAAAGGTCAAAAATCTTAGGGTGAATGGTATTTGCATATTTTCTGGTCTTAAACCCAGTTGATCTACAAGTATAAAACAAATTCAAGTAAAGAGTTACTTGCAGGACACTTTGCTTTGTAGATTGCTTCCAGAATAAGAAAACATCACTTCCAAGCAACACAGATGATCTGATGCTCACTGGCCTTTCCTTCCTCCATTCCTTCCTCCCTCTACGATGATGATTTGCAATGTAGCTCCATATTTTGGGGGCAGTGAGGTGGTTTTTTTTGCCATGTCCCTCATTTCTGTACAATCAAAATGAAATATAGGTCAAATATAGGGCTTTTTTTACATGATAAATGTACAAAAATTGACTCACACATGCCAAAAATCTTGAACAGAGCAGCTCATAAATTTCTTTCATTTTAGAATTTAAGATTTAAACCATTAAGCAGATGGAGAAAATATTATTGGAGAGGTCCAAAACAGAGGTGGCTACTGCCCTGGTCTGTTTGTAGTGACAGGGGAGGTTGCAGCAGAGCCATGTTTTGTGAGATGTGCTGTCCAGTGGCTGGAGCTCAGGGTGAAGCCCTTGTGCCTCTCCCTGAACTTGCACTGGGCACAAGCACTGAAAACATTGGCAAAAACATCATAGGAGTTGGAGATTTAGAGGAAATTTGCAGAAATTGGGAGAAGGAAGGAAGTGAAAGAGCAAGTGAAGCTGGGGCAGCAGCAATCAGTAGAGGAAAGTAGAGAGAAATCAGTGGTAGCTCTCTGAGCAGAAAGTCACCAGTCTGCCAAGCAGAAGAGCACCAGAGGAAAGGGAGGGATTGGGGCCAGCAGAGGTGCAGAATGGGACTGGAAAGCATTTGTAATCTTTCAGCAAGTCTTTCAAAAATTTTCCACTCCACTGTGATTCATTTTGCCATTAGTCTGGGCTGGTTTGTGTGTGGTGAAAGTAAATGAGAGCAGTAGGTTGTTAATGTTTGTACCAAGTGCAAAACTGAATGTCTGGTTCATGACAAGTAACTGCTCTGGCTTGTGTCTGTGCAACTGATGCTGTTTTACACAGTCAGGCATGAGGATCTTGGCCCTGCCAACATTTACAACATCTTAATACATGCTCCTAAATTCCTTTGAGCATATATAATTATATGTTCAGACACATTGATCTAAATTCTACCAGGGACTCATTGAAACATGAAAAAATATAAGCAGTCAACCGTAATTGCTAAGAGCACTCCAGAATGGAGAAGAATCATCAGAGAAAGTGCCATAATGAGACCCAAACATTATTTTTTTTGTTCAAAAATATCTTGTGTTTCACAGGCAGCTTTTTGTTAGTTTTTGTTGTTTTTTTTTTTTTAATTATTATTTCTAATTTAGTTTAACCCACCATCTGAGAACTGAAATGCAGAAAATCCCCACCCAGCAGGGAAAGTCTTACAAGACTTTGAAGAGGAAGACCTGTTTTGCAACTGGGGTGGTTTCCCACCATGATGGTGAACAGACACAGTAGCACTTTTTTTGTAGCCTGAAATTTAGGAAAAACTTGAATTTAATTTTCCCATGTTTACATTTGGCAAGCAGAGAGCAGAGAGGTAAGTGGGGCTAGATGAGACCCAGTCATATCAAGTTCTTGCTTGAATACAGCTTCTGAGTATGGCCCAGTTCCATGTCCTCCCCAAAGCCCCCTTCCAGTTCCCAAAGAAAAGGTTTGGCCAGTGGGAGCCAGGGCTGCCCAGCACCCCAGAGGGTCACAGTCTTTGAGTGTAAGGCTGACTACAGTGGATTGGAGAGTGAGGAGATTAATGAATTAACTAACTGCTTACTTCAGATCACTACATATGGGAAGACAGAGAAAATATTATATAAGAAGGGAAGGAAAACATCCTATGATGATGCCATAAGTGAACTTTGAACTGAACTCCTAATTGCTTCCATTAGCTGAAACAGTTACTTTAATAATACAACAACTGTCTTTTCTTGCCCTCAGCAGAACATTTGTTATTTGAGTAGGTAATTTTTTGGCACTGAAGCAGAGATCAGACTTCAGTACACTTTGTAATACACAGAAGAAAGAATTTTTCAGCCAGAGGCCCAGCCCATAGCAATAGTCAGATTGCAAGCAGTGGCATCTGGTTACAAAAAAGGAGTGTCCTTGAAGCTCACCTGTAGCTCACTGTCCTTAGGACTCAAACTAGTTTGTTTCTTATATTTGTATTTCATTCTTGTATCCTAGATTTAAGAAAATATTCATATTCAGACCATGACTGATTGAGCATGATTTGTTATTTTATCAGGATATTTTCTGAAATAAACAGAAACTCTCACTTTTTCTTTCATATGTTTTAGGAAGACAGTGATTTATTAATAAACACAGGATTACTATTTCTGAGTTCGAGGTGACAAATAAGCCCTGATACAAGTGTGCATCTGGTCAGAGAATGCCACTGCAACTGACTGAGTAAGGAAAGATCCATGATGCTTTAAGAAAAACATGGCAATGTATAGAATATTAATGGTGAATTAGAATACACCCCACCATGACTCTTCTCATGAAAAATATGCTGTCTCCATATCTCCACCCCTTGCAGTTCCTCTTTGCCCACTTTATAAGATTATAAAAGCCTGATCACATTTCCATTAAAATCAAGGGCAAATATTTCAGTGCTCTTTGCACAGGATGAGACCCTCATTGTATTACAGTAGCAATATTTACTCCTCAAAAGAAGTTCCTTTGGCATTATTAATGTTCTGTTATGATTTAATTGGTGTGTTTCACACAGAATTATGTGGATTTGAATGTGGCCCTTCTGAGGGAAAGAACTGTAAAATTCCCCACCAAGAGTTGATCTTTGCCAACACTTGTTGATAACTGATATTAATAAATAGGAGCTGGTAGGCTGTCTTTCTAAAATAGCATTCAGAGCCTAGATAACATTTTAAAATGTTGTAAAGGGAGAACACATATCCTGTCTGGCAAGATAAAGTGTAAAATATGCTACATGCAACCAGATGGCTGCACAAAGTTGTCTGAAATTGCAGAAGGAGATCACAGCTTTCTTCTATAGCTGCAAGAACCTGCCAGGAAGGTCTTGTGCTGTGCAGGAGACAGCTGTGGAGTTTAAAAGTCACTAAGCAGGCAACCAGGGTGAACAAAAGATGTGGTATATTAAACTGTGGCTTTTCAAGGGTTTTTACACTTGTTTTTTAAATTATTTTTCCTATGGTGTTAGCTTCATTTTTTTTTTCCTCTCTTGCCAGCATTAAAAGTTTTGTGTGTTTTTTAAGGGCCTGCTACCTGTAGTGTCCACACAGAGGCACTGTGCTATGGTAGTCTTGTGCACATCAGAAACTTTAGTCACAGCTATTCCATAACTGTGAATAAAGTGACCACTGCTTTCTCAAAGCCTGCTCCTCCATCACAGAGGAACAGCTGAGCAATAGAGCCAAAGGCACTGTTTGCATCTAAGAGTGCTTCAGAAAGTACCCATTAAATCATTCAGCAACAACTTTTCTCAGCCTTCAGAACCAGAAATGGCAGTCTTGAAAACACAAAACTTCTTCTGATGTGGATCCATGCCCTGTGAGGCTGAAGATGTGAAAGCAGGGGTGCTCAAAGCAGCCGAGCAGTGACTCACGCGTCAGGTGTGGGACTTGGATTGGACCCGTCCTTGTCATCCCATGGCAGCTGGGGCAGCTCTCAGAAGCCCAGGTGGTTCCTTTTCACTTCTTCACTTTCCTGAGAAGAAGCAGCTTCTTTTCAGCTGCATGTGATCTCTCTTGGAGAGGATGTTTAAGGCTTATGTTGGAAGCCTGGAAGGTGTTGCTGAGCAAAGGAGTTTTCCTCTCCTAAGGAACTAACTTTCCCAGTCACCCTTTTCCAGCTCCCCTTGTTCCAGGGACTGGCTGCAGTCAGGATAAGCTGCCTCCTAATACAAGCATTATGCTAGAATGCTTTATTGTTTAATAGCACTAAGCTTTATGAGTGTGAATTGGCTCCCAAAAGCAAATGGCAGCCTCCACTCTTCAGCAGTCATGGCAAATAATAGGAGGATAAAGGCAGTTAATTGAGGGGGAAATCCCCTCACACAGACAAAGAAAACAGATATCTACTAAATAACCAGCACACAGAGAGCAGTGAAAACTTCCCTAAGGTAAAACTTAACTCTTTTACTCTACCATAGAGCCCAAATAATTCCCAAGAAGCAAAGGGAACTGCATTAGTGTAGCTGAAATTTAGAAGCTGGGCTGTCTTTCCCAGACTCCAGAGAGAGAAACAGACTTGGTCTTTAGACTGCATTTAATGACTCCCACATGCTTGGGAGTTAAAAATTTTCTTTGTTAAAAATGAAGTGTACTCCTCGTGGATCAGCTTCTGAGTTGCTGATGCTCTGCTTGTTGAGTGTGTCAGCCAAGCCCTCGGGGCCACAGAGAAAAACACCTATTCTGGAGCTGTTAGGAAAATGAAAATATGGTCAGAAACTTCGTATGGAGCAGCTGGATATTCTTCATGTAAATAATTTTTATGTTCTATAGATGCAAGTTTTTTTCCCAATTACAGGAACTGAAGGAGAACAGGACATCTATCCCCTAAACCTTATAACCCCTTAAAACTTATTGCTGCTTCTAAAACAAATGCTGGGTTAAATCTCAGCTCAGCCTTAGACAGTGAAGACAGGTTTATTGACCTCACTGAATCAAAGAAATAGAGATTCAAAGAGCTTATGGCACAAATTCCTGAGAGGACCTTTTCTGGTTTTTTCCAGCAAATTTTGGGTGGTTAGCTAAAGGTCATCCATATTCAGGTTTGGTTTCTAGAAGTAAAAAGTGGTTTTGGAGGTATTTGGACACCACCTGCTATTACTGTCTACTTCAGCTAGAAGGATATATTTAGGTTTTTTCTAAATCTTCTGCTAGTAATTAGACACTCCAAGAAGCATCTTGTGATAAAGGAATGGTTTTTTTAGAAAATGTAGGTCAAAATAATTTGGTCGAGATCATAGATCACGTCCATGACTGGAAAAAGAATAGAAGACATCTGAAGTTAGGTAGGGGGGAAAAAATGCTCCTCAGACTTTATCAGCCAAAGGAACAAGATTGTGCTGTATGGTGTGTGTGGCCATTAAATAGAGGAAGTCCACAGACACTATAAATTTGCACAGATTTACCCAGGATGCTTCCCTGCAATAGTTTTGAATTCATTTTCCCAGTTAGGTCTTCCATACAAGGTTTTCTGTTTCAGTCCTGTAATCACATCTTTCTCTTCTTCATGGTGCACTACAAAGTGAGTGGCCTGTGAGAAATGAAAGAGAAAGGACAATTAAATCTGGCAGCATTGTGTTCCAGTTAAAAAATAATAATATCAGTACTGATTGAATTATTTCCCTAATGAGATTATGGAATTTGCCATGTTTTGCAAGGAAAACTAAGACTGATAAAATCCTGACTATCAGTGTCTACCCCTGCCTTCTCCCCAGACTGGGTGATCTCAAGAGTTAAAGCTATAAAACACTGAACATAGCAATTAATTGTCGGGTTTTTTTAAATAGACAGGTTTAGTCTAAGAACTCCAACATAGGACTGCAAATTATAAAATCTTTTCCCTTCAAATACAATAACATGACTCCCTTGACCATAATGAAACCTTTCCAGTTTGTTCTCTGGAAAGTTTGATTCATATGAGGAGGTCTTGCCTATGTAAATTCAGCTGGACTAGCTAAGTTAAGCAAGAAAGATAAGATGTGGTTAAAGGCATAAGAATACAGAGTTCTGTAGCCCTTTTATATGAGACAAAACAAGTTCCAGGTAACCCTATCCCCAAATAATGTGGAACTTTTCTTCTCTCCTTTCTGTTTCTTTGACATTGCACATGTGATTACTTCCTTGCTGCTCCCCCTCCCTGTCTGTCTAGCTGAGCTACAGCACTTCGGGCACGTGGTGAATTTTGCAATGGTGAGATAAACGTAATATAAAACATCACTAAAAGTAACAGAGTGAGAGCCTTTCCACACTCAATCCCACATTCTCAATTCTTTTCTTTTGCATCCCCACAGCAACCTACCAGCACAGGACCAGAGAACAAATATGCTGCTGTTGTTCAAACTTTGTGCATTGGTTTCCCTGGTTCCTAAAACTCTTAATTACATGTTTTAGGCGGCATCAGCTGTTTTAGAGACTCGTACATGGTGAGCTGAGGTTCCTCCTGTGAACAAAGCCTGCTTCCCACAGAGCACAGCCAGAGGAAACCAGAAGTCAGTGAACATTAACAGCTGATCCCATGTAACTTCTGATGGATAACACCTGCCTGCATTCAAAACCTCTGAGACCCAGATGGATGCCCAGGATAGAAGACCATTTGAGTAGTTATGAAAACAAATTTTCTAACATTAACCCAAATTTTATGGCAGTGATATCCTCCACTGGTTACCTGAGTTTCATCCCAGCCTGTAAGGTAGATGTTATAGCTCAGAAACTCTGCGTTATTCCTCTCCTGCATTTGAACCTCCAGAGATTGCAAGAGGTCAGCAAACCATTCAAAGGCATGAGTGTCCCTGCAAAGCCAGTAAAAATAAATCTGGAAGAGACAAGAATGAGCTGTCAGGGGACACAGGCATATTTTCCTGGGTTTATGACTGCTGACAGAGTGAGGATTATAGAGTTCTTGTAAAAAATGTCCCAAACACTTCAGTAGATGGGTAGGATGGTATTGAAGCTACTCAGGAATTTTGCTGCTGGGAGGGTTAAAAAGCTCAATGACTGACTGCAAGAACGAGGAAATATCTTCCTATTTCTCTTCCACATTTTTAGTTTGCAATGTTTCCCCACTTACCTCCTTGTAAAACCGTTTGTTAGGACATAAATAAATGATTTAGTGGTGAAATCTCTTTCTGTCTGCTGCCAGGCAAGATAAAGTAGGTAACAAAGCCAGTTCTGTTCTCTGAATATGACCATAACTGCAAAGTGTGACCCCACACCTCTGCACAGGAGTTTCCAGGGGTCAGAGGGGAGAGGAGGATGCTTCCATTGCTCTTCCACTCATGAAAAGTGTTTCTCTTTGTGGAGGGGAAAGGAATGCAATGTTTGCCCAGGCTGTATTAGTGCCTTGAACTTTCTGTTTCTCAAGTAGATGAACACCATTTCCACTGCAACTGGAAATCCCCAGGGCTACAGTCAGGATTAGCATGTGTGATTTGGCTTGTAGGCTATTTCTCCTTTCATTATATTCTTGGTGTAGACCCTCCTGCTTTCTTCCTGCTAACCTTGAGAGGCAACTGGACTCTTCCTTCTTTTAGGACTCGTGCATGCCTGGAGCCAGACCATGTTTGCTGTACCTGCTTTGATTTGGGCCCTTGGACCTTGAACAGTCACAGGGGTCTGGGAAAGAGGACACAATACCTTCTTGAGCTTTAGGTTGGTGGCATCATGGCAGTATTTGTACCAGACAGACTTGAGGACAGATGCAAAGGGGGTGACCCCTATTCCAGCTCCAACCAGCATCACAGTTTCATAACTGAACACATCCTCACTCGCTGTTCCAAAGGGGCCGTCCACAGCTATCCTGGAATTGAAAGTATGCTTATTAAATCAGTAGTGAATATTTAGTAACACCATTTAAAATAACAGTTAAAAGTTATTTGTCTGCTACAATGCAAATTTGGACTGAATACTAGTCAGCAAAAGGAGAGGTGGAGTTGATAGGAAAAAACTATCTACTAGTAAAACTAGTAAATCTACTAGTAAAACTAGTAAAGAAGCATCTAAGACCCACATCTGTGTCACCATTTAAGGTTTGTATCACTGGTTCCATCAAATTTGCTGAGCAAAATTTAAACTGTCACAGGTGTTTACTGACTTTACCATGGAAACTCTCTGTACATACTTGGGCAACTTCCATGCCTCCTGGAATTCTTGTTTATCACACCCACAGGCATTGAACAAGCCCTCTGTCCAGTCTCCTACTATACGGACGTGAATGCTGAAGTAATCCTCCTCTGGAGCAGAAGTCAGTGTAAATGGATGCCATTCCAGTTTAGACACTGCTGGACATTTGACAAAAATGTATTGTCCAACTTCCATCTTGAAGCCTTTTTTCATCATCTGGAGCTCAATTGTCTTGAAGGGATGAATGACCACCTACAGTGAGAAGGGCAAGATGAAAAATAAGGAAAAGAAAATGTCTTTCTTCACTGACCACTGATGTATCTCACTGATATATTTATATCTGCCATCACTAACATCATCCTCTGCTATGAGAGCAAGGAAAGCAGGTGAAACTTTCTTCCCAGCAGACCTGAGAGTGAGGAACAGCACATGACAGGCAGATGAAAACCTGCAAAGGATGATGATGCTTTGGTTGAAGTATTTTTTCGCACCAGTTCGGACTGAAGCTTGCAGTCGCTCCAAAGGGGACAGGCCAGACTGGCACATCTTGTAACACATCACCAGGTCTGTGTGTGCACATTGTTAATTCCAGATGGACCTTACCCAGTGGCACAGAGCTAATGGACCTGACTGTAAATATAGGGACAAAAACATAGGGGTATTCTATAGATATTGGATAGGTAGTACCACTGGAAATGAAAGATTTCTTGTTTTAGTTGTGTGGGATGTTGGCTATTCTCTAGAAACAATATTCTAGAAGCAAAACCAGTAACTCTGTCACTATAATTTTTAATCCTAAAGTTATCTGCTAAAATTATTTTCATTTTTCAAAAGAGATTTGCAGGAGTGAAAATCAAGTCTCCCTGTCTGTTAATTCAGGTATAAACAGTGGTGTTTAGGATTGTGAAGGAAATTTTCTGCCAACAGGCCACAAAACAGACACCATAGAAATATAATGTAGAAGTGGCTCACAGGATATTTTGGTAAAATTACCAAAAGCCCATCAGTATTTAGGAGCCTTCCAAAGTGCCAGCATCATTACAGAGCACAGGAGAAACATGTAATGTCACCTCTCAACCCCTGCTATGATTTGAACAGGCTGTGTCCTCAGCAGCACAGTGTAAGGACAATGTAAGGAAATTACACTGGGAAAGGCAGGATAGTTTTCATATGTTTGAGCTTACTGCTGTGCTAATTCAGCTGTCAGAACTTCAGGATCAGTGTTAATGTCTCTGAAACACATCATGAAACACATCGCTCAGCATTAGATTTGGATGCATAAAATAAATACGCTCTAACTTGTTTTCAGGGATTATTTGTTCTGTGTCTCAAATTAGTCTCAAGTCTGTGGAATTTCTGCGCTGAGGAATTTTTCACCCAATACAAAGAAAATTCATTTATTTTCTAAGATTCAGTCCTGTGCCTTAGCTAGCTTCCTCCTCTTGCTCACTTTTAGAGGCTACATTTGGATGTTAGATGTCGGCATCATGACAGCAGTCAGAACATTCTTTCCACTGATGACTTTGGTGTGTAGGAGCCTCTGCTGCACCATTTGGAAAAGAAGGTGATGGTATTGAGTGCAGCATCAGCACTTACCTTTGTGATAACAACCTTCTGCTGTGACCTCCAAAACCGCACCAGCCGCTCACACAGGTACAGAAACATGGGACCTACCACCCACTTCCATGTCTGTAAGCAGAAGAAAACAAGTCAGATGATGAAAATTGTAGAATCATAGAAAGGTTTGGGTTGAAAGGGATCTTAAGGACCATCTAGTTCCAACCCCCCTGCTGTGGACAGGGAGCACTTCCACTAGATGAGATGGCAATTTAGATCAAATCAAATCCTGGAAATTCTATAAGCAGAGGTGAAGTTCAAGTAATCTGTGTTCTTTATTAACCAGATCAGGGAATCCTTAAGATATATGACAGCTTCAAAATTCTGGTCAGAGAGGGAATTTCTTTCTCTGTTGAGTGTTGCAGCTGGCTTTTTAGTTTCTACCAGAACTACAGCAAGGTATTTTCCTGTGAGTAATTTTGTCTCTGTCTAAAAAAAAATTAACGAAGTGAAATGTTGAGTAAAACTCTTAAGGTATTATTGACTCAGGTCTGTATTACTGCAGGAAAAGATGTGGTTTCTGTTAACAGATCAGTCTGAAATGTGAAAGAAAAAACAGCCTGGTTAATCAATAAAAACTGAAGTTTCAAATTCACATTTCCTGTTTTCTGCTGATGATCATTAGTCCATTAATAATGTTAAACTATTTATTATGAGAATGATAGCACTTTCTTGATATTCCCAGAAGCCATTACTTTGCAGTTTTCTTTTTGGATAAAAAGTACCAATTGCTTTTTTGTTTTTTCCATCAGTTTTTTTCTATCAGTTGTGCTTATTTTACAGCAGAGTGAAAGTGTGTTGCCTGTCTGGAGTCCATTTCTGCTTACAATCCATTGTGTCAAAATCTCTTGCTTCATGCAAAGAAAGCTGCCACTGAGAAGTACTGAGGGTTATATGGCTGTTTTTCTATGCAATTTAAGAAAAAATAGCAAACTGTGAACATTTTTAATTGGATTTACATACAAACCAGCTGTTCTTACCATAGGAGGATTCCCTGAAAACTGGGGGATTGGGCAAGCCTTGTTCTTGCCCCAGTGACTGAAGTTCTTGTAGCAAATCTCCGGGTTATGTTCAGCCAGACTTTCAGCTGTCTGTCCCCGTACAATACGACTGGGAAAAAAGTAAAGATCATTAAGGCAATGACATGAAAATGAAAGTATCTGTTCCTTACTGTTACTCTATTTATACACTGCTCTATTTATATGGAGCTGTTGACTTCTGCACTGCTACAGTTTTGATACAGCTTTGCTGCTCTAACCTACCCACAAAGTTACCACGAAAGAAATAAAAATGGGGAGGGAAGTTTGTGGGATAAAATCCTGATTTCAAGATTAGGTGAGGAACTGAGAGTTATGTCCATTACCACTTCTAGGATGTGGTTACAATTAGAAAGCTTCATTCTTATCTGAGTTATCCTACTTTTTTATCTAAACCACTACAATTAAAAAACAAAACAAAACAAAAATCAACCAACCAACCAACCAAAAAAACAAACAAAAAAAAGCCCTAGCAAAAAACCCAAACCTGATCAAAATAAAAAGCAACCAAAACCCAGAATCTGGAATGGACAAGTAATCAATTTGCTACTGACCACTACAGAAATTATTTCTGCTGTTTATTTTAGAAATTTGGAGATCCCTTTCCAACATACATTCTTCCTTTGGCCCTTCCTTTCCCCCTAATGCTGCGGAGCAGCTGTTCAGGTGCTATGAATAAATACAGATGCTTTTGACACAAGCAGCTATTGTAACTATAACAGCTTGCATCAGCCAGTAATCTGGCCTCAATATTATTGTTTGGTTGCTTTTATTTTTGTTTATTTTTTGTTGTTATTGTTTGTTTGTTTTAGTATAAAGAATCCTGACTGATCCAGTACAGCTGTATTTCCAGTAGCAGAACTGGTGCAGAGAGGTAATTTCAGTTTTAAGAGGGAAAAGTATATTCTTTTTCACTATTTTCTGCTTCTCTCTGGAGTTCTGCCAGCCTCAGGATCTTAGTAGAAAAATTCAGATTAAGATCTGCTGAATTTTTCCTAGAAACAGTTTGCTTCTGATCAGGCTGTTCAGTTTTATGTCAATGTGATTCTTTGATATCTTCTCCCCATGACTTCCCTTTCCGCTTTTCTAGCTCAGTTTCTGTGGACTAGACTACATTTCTGATATTTCAAAGAAGCCCAATTATATCTAAACCATATGCATGCCTAGTTTTGTGTGACAGACTTTTCAGAGGATTGTTAGAAAACCTCTGCACAGTGTTGAGAGACAAGACATTGCTCATAAATATTACTAATGAACCTCTTCTTCATTAAATGTTTGATTAATATCCTGTCTGAAAAATAAAGGGAAGCAGTGACACTGTCCCAGCAGCATCACGAGTTTCAATTTGCAGGGACATCAGCAGTTACAGTTCACTTCCCCACTAATGACAGCAGGTTCAGCTGAGCCACCCCTGGGATGAGTTACAGGAACAGGAGGCGCCCACTTCCTCCACTGCCCACCCCATTGCTTAAGGGAAAGGGGGCCTGGGGGTTTTTGCCTTGCCCTATGCTCTGTTCAAAGTTTGACAATGTCAGTGCTCTGTACAAGAGAAAGAAAAGGTTATTTCCTCTTACCAGTCAGTGTAGATGCTCCTTCTAGTACTGTAATTAACTTTTCAACAGTATAGCCTTATAATTATTTTTTTTTGGCTGAAGGTTTTCCTTTAACTTCAAAAGAGTGAACTGCACCTCTGTAATCTCTCCTCTTTACATTTACTGTGTTGGGAAATTTGGGACGTTTGTCTTTGACACACAGCTCATGCACAAAAGGATCAGTGCTTCAAAAGTGCTGTAACAGCTTGTAACAGACAAAAATTATCATAGAATCAAAGAATTAAATCAGACAATTGCTTGGGTTGGGAAGGACCTTAAAGATCATCCAGTTCCAACCCCCCTGCCATGGGCAAGGACAACTTTCACTGGACCAGGTTGCTCAGAGTCCAGACTTGCCTTGAAAAATTCCAGGGATGGGGCAGCCACCACTTCTCTGGACAACCTGTGCCAGTGCCTCAACACCCTCACAGTAAAGAATTTCTTCTTAATATGTGATCTAAACCTACTCTCAGTTTGAAGCCGTTCCCCCTTGTCCTGTCACTCTGTGTTCTTGTAAATAGTCCCTCTCCATCTTTCTTGAATCTGTCCCTTAGGTGCTATCAATAACCTTTGACTCAGCTTTCTGCATACACAAGTATGGTGTGTTTGGATAGATATGTGTGACAGTCTTCTCTCCTCTGAGATAAACTGGCATTTGTATAACATGTATAACGTATAACATCTTGCTTTGAGACTGTCAGTTCATCCTCATTCCATAACATCCATCTTTGCACACTTGAGATGCCTTCCATGAGTGTAACAAGCCTGTCTTTCTTAGTGTATTTTCTCTGGATTCAAAATGTCATTATTACCTTTAAGGCCAAATTAGGCCACTGAGTTCACAGCTGGAAAATCATCCTTCCCTCTACAGATGAGAATAAAAGAATATTGTGTATCTGCTGAATATGTACACCTGCTTCCAAGGGATAGCTGAACTTCACTGGCAACCAGCACTGCCCAAGCTCTTGCCTTTCATTTAAGTACAATTAAGGTGGTGAGAGTACAGTGAACACAGAAGTAAATAAAAATTCAACTTTTATTAAAGATGTGCTCTCCACTGACCTCTAGAAAGGGTAATGCTTGCTTTCTGATAGCATTGTGTAGTAACTACTGGCAAGTTTGAACACTGTGTCAGCAACTAGCCAGTGTTTGCTGCAGAAAACATGAACCACGTATCCTTATCCTTCCACAAGTTTTTCTCAAACCTTTTCCTTGTTATGAAAGTTGGAATGGACAAATATGCTGGGGGTGATTCCCATCTGCCTTCTATTTTTGTTCATCCTGTTTTACTTAATTTCTGTCTTTTTTATGGCACTAATGGATTGTAAAGAAGTGGTTTTGAATAGTCATTTTTGCTGGGTATTTTTAAAGTACACTTTCTGTTGCGTATAAGATTTCCTTTAAAATGGGCAATGTAGTGTAATTATGAGCTATTGAAACATAGCTTTGATATTTGAGTCTTTTTTCTTTATTTACCAGTTCTTTGGTTTTATAAAATTGATTTAAAGTTCATTTTTCTAAGTGCTAAAATTGTGTTTGTGTAGTTCTAAAACTGTTTCATTAGGCTTTCAGCTCTTTCAGAAGAATATATGGAATGAGGCAACAGCAGAAAAAGATGTTTGGCATTTGAAAGTTAGAAAACTTTACAAATGCCTATTTCTAAGTTAAAACAGCTAAAAATCTATTCTTAAATACTGCTGATATTACACACTCATCCAAGCGTGAAACATAAATATATATCACTATAGTTTCTATTATCCAATAAAATTCTAGACTTCATGTAATTTTTATACTGGTATCTCCTTACAAGCATGTGTGTGATGCAATTCCTTTTAGGAGAGAAAGGTAAATTAACAATTAGAAACAGAAACCTTGGAAAAGAGCTTTGCAATTAAGATAACAGAAGAAGCTGAATGCCAGTGAGCTTGTATATGACAAAGCCACATGAAACCTCCTGTGTGTGGACAGCTTGTGTGAACATATCAGTGAGAGCCTCTTGACTCTCAGAGCCCCTATTGGCCCATCACTACCATCAAAAACAGCTGACAGTGACAGAAGTCCCTATACTCATGTGTGAAGGGGACTTTAAATGAAGACTCAGTAGTTACCAGATATTTTGTGATAAGTGAAAATACTCACCCAGCACCGTGGATGACAAGGCCAATAAAGAAGATGACAAAGAGATGGTGGGTGTACCAAAATAGTTCAAAGTATGATCTCCGGATGGTTTTGGTGGATGAGGTGATGATGAGGATGAGGGCCAGTGTGATGACAACCCCAGTGATGCCAGCCAAGTATGTGAAGGCCACATATAGGCCCCCAATGGGATTCTGTGAAATAATTGCACACGTTGGTCTAAGGAAGGGGCTGCACCAAGGCAGAGCCAGTTGAAGCACCACTCATCAAATCCTTTACCTTGTTATAAGTCCTTAAGTCATCTGATACCAAATTTCTATTTCATTTTTGTTGCAGATTTACCTTTACTAAAGTAATTGGAAGTGGAAAGAAAGGGCTTTATTTGAATTAACACACCAAACATGGTTTCTTACTCTGCCATGGCTCAGCAAGACTGGTTTGAGGAAGATGTTCACACAGCTCTGGTGTTAAGAGCTGGAGTCCTACATCCATGTTTTGAGAGTTAAATGAAAATTGTCCTCTGGTGCTGCACAGCTGTGGGACTTATAACTCAGGCAGAGTTTGGATGCTCAGTGCAGAGGAGTAGGGAAGTTCCTTCTTTTCTTTTTCCCCACTGACCAGAGCTTAACCCACCCAGCTTCAAAACTTTTGTCTTGATTTCTGTGTCCCTTTCTGAGTGCCATGTCTAAGCCAGAACACTGCTTTACAGGGTATGTTTTGACATAATGTTTTAAAACTACTTTGAAATCCTCAGGTGAGAAAGTTTAAAGTAGTGCCACAGTTCAGCAGCAATATTACTGGCAAATATAGAAGAATGGATTCTACAAGGTTTTTCTGCAGGATGGCCCAAACCCAGACTGTGGACACCAGAAACAGGCACTCAAATGGTCTCGTATGATCACCTAAACAAATGTAATAATGACCCTTCAGAGTCTGATACCACCTACCGCAATGGTTTGTCTGAAAAAGTTGACATAGCTTTCATTTGGTTTGTCTCCAAGGCCAGAAAGCACAGCTGCCAGAGTGCCCTTCTCTTCAACACGGGCTTGCACACTCCACTCAACGTTGAATAAGTGTGCAATGGTGTGAATTGCTAGGAGTGACACGAAAGGAATAATCAGCACTGACCACAAGTACTCGGCGGTTTTGGGCAACATTTGAAACTTTGTCACATTTGTCAACTACGGCGTAAAAGCTTTGCTGCTCTTGCCCTCCTCATCACAATTGCAGATCACTGATATGTTTTACTGTTTAAGTTTTACCACCTGAAATTTACAGTTTTTGGGTGGGGAAAGGAAAGAAGTAAAGAGAAATTTCCAGTTTCATATTTCATATTTCCATATTTTTTGTTCAACAAAGGCTTTCAACAATTCAAGTAGTAGTACCCTAACATACAGGATACAAAAACATGGAATGGGTTAAACTGTTCATCAGGATTATCCTCATCCAGGACTTCTGTAAAAGAGCCGAGAAGTGAATCTAGATTTCATTGGGGTCACATTTGTAAGTGCTGCTTTGTTCTGCAGTTTTGCTAATAATCATTAGTAATATTCTCGCTGGGCTGAATGCGTCCAAAAACCTAAACCAGCTGAAGTGTTCACATGAATTCCACGACATGTTTATGTAGGGTGAAATTGTACAATGCTTTTCAAAATTTGAACCACCTCCTATAAGCAGATACCTATTTACCTTCAAAACAGGTCCAAATTTTTAATATGCTTTATTTTAATAATTTCTATTATTTGCTTCAGACATGCCGGATAAGAAGTAAGTCTAAACAAGAATTAAAACCAGTGTATCCAGTTCTCAGGACATTACTAAACACCCTTTATAAAACTATCATAAATAGTACTGACAGTTCAAAATAAAGGTATTCTTTCTTATCTTTTCCTCTCTGACAGTTGGCACAGATCTGGAAAATGATTTAAGCCTTGGCACACACTGACTCCTGTAATGGAATTAGGTCTCTGCCCATACCATTAAGAACTTGAATGCTGCCTGGATTCCACATAAAATACACAAGAAAGCAATAAACAAAGAAACATTAAAGTACCAACCAGTGTGAAGGGCGATCATCCAGGCCACCATTTTGTGAAAGGTGAGGTTTCTGTCCAGCTGTCGTCTGACACGGGTAGAGCAGCACTTCGGGTTGAAAGAAAAAGGTATTTGAAGACTATTTGTGTTGTCTATACAGACTTTTTAAATGCAGGGACAAAACAGAAGCCCTGAACACATCGTTAGCATTGCTAGGAAAAAATTTAGAATTTCGAAAAACATAAAAATGTTTCCCCCCCGCCTTTCAGAAAAGAGGAATTACAAGTTATGTTTTAACATGTCCCAATGAAACAAAGTATTTGATAAAGAGAAAAAAATTCAACATCCAGTATGACAAATATATCTTATCTGTTTTAAATTGCACATTATAAACAAAAGGAGGGATCACAGTCTGCCATGCAAAGTTTGGGTGTAATGTCTCGGGGAGCTCCCACCCCAAATGTTTTAGTTACCTACGGGGGTGATATGAAGGCATTCCTTCCCCAAAATACTGGGTTTACTTTTCAGGCACTCACAACTTGGTTTTGGAGTTACCCAAAAAGAAATAGCAAAAATCTCTGTGGATACAAACCAAAGAAATTAATTCTCAAGAAAAACAGAATGATATTTTCATTACTAATGATAATGGGTTCCTAACAGGCCCCATCTGAATTGTGCTGCAGTCACTGGGAGTTTTCCTAAAGCCCTAAGTCCCTGTAAGGCTGGCATTTGCTGTCTCCACACAGCAGAAGGCATGATTGTCATGTGTTACATGTTTACACTGTGTTTGCTGACCGGATAAGGGAACAAAACACTATGCAAACTACCACAAATATTTCCTCACAAGAGGCAAACACTCTGGAGCTGTCACAATGACTTCAGACTATAACAACAACCAGGAGAAATTTGGACTTTCTGTATCACCTATATTGAGAGACAATAGAGAAGGACTTAGAGTGAAATGTAGCATAGTGAGGCAGTGCTCGACTCCCTTGCAAAAGCCCCTTGATCTGTCTGAGAGGTGAAGGCCAAGCAATGGCAGAGGGCTCCAGCTTCCTTCAGTCATGAGGCTCACTAAGAACAGTGAATACAGTAATGATGGGAATGAAAAACACAGCTATCCTTTCAATTAAAACCAAATAACTTTGTCACATGTGATTTCGGAGTGGCAGGATGGAGAGGGCGAGACTTTTCAGTACATTCCCATTGAACACTGTGTTTAAACAATTCTTTCCTCTTCTTGACCCCAATGTCACTGCTGTTGGTATCTCTACTCTTCCAATAAGTTGACATTTAAATGATTTTTCTTATAGACCCTCACAGTTGTTACCTGCTGAGCATAGCCAGTTAGAGACAACTGCACAATAAGCACAAGCAGCTGTCCCCCTGTGCTAAGGCCACCACAGTGCTGCCACTGCCAGTGGCTCACTGGGCCATGTGTGTTTTGCTTAATATCTAAAATTACATCCTTACTGAGGTGTAGCTTTACTGCAAAAAGCAACTGATGCTAAACACCAGCTGTCTAAGAGTCTTATTCTATGCCCCTCCCTGCCCTCCTTGCTCACCCCCAGAGCCCTTTGCTTCCCCATTCGCAGATGTGGCAGGAGAGTGTGCTGCCAGCAGGAATGGAACTGTATCTTCCTGCCTGGGACTCACTTTTGTGCTGGGTGTAGCCTGAGTGACTCTACCACAGTGCCCAAGGCAGAAGAACTGACTCTGTAGCCTGAATACCAAGAGGGACAGCTTTCCCAAGATCTCGGTTAGAAAGTTAAGTTATGCATGCTAGGAGAGGAGCAATTGAGGACGAGTAGCACAAAGTCCCAGCTGGAATACAGTTCTCAACACCCAGAATCAAGTTTTGGCCTTCCAGTAGTCTCCATATGCATCCCCAGCTCTTTCACTGCTTTGAGCTCAGAAGATCTCTGCCCAGATTGCCTTCATCTGTACAATCTCAAAAATGCCTGATATGATCAAGAGCCCACCATTATTTTCCAGTTGCATTCATCCATAGCAACATTAATTCTTTCTAAATTTATATTCATTATTGACTTCTGCAGGCAGAGGATTCAGCTCTGGATTTTGGCTGATACTTGCTGATCTGCCTTAGGGCAGGGAAATAACTTTAATCCTACAGTTTTATTTACTATCCTTTTTCCTTTTACATGAATGGAGGGTGTGGCTGTCTGTTTTGTAGCACCTCAGGATCTGAAGGAGCATAGGAAAAGACTGAAAGCCTGACATGTGTTTCCAATTTAATATTCCTAAGTATTATTCTCTAGAAAGGCTAGAGCACTGGGTCCTATGTAAATTAAATATATAATTTAAGAGTTTAATGTGGCAGGCACATCTCATTTATTCAGCCACACTCATTGTGAGGATGTATATAATGGATGAAAACACAGCCTGTTTTGTCTTTGGTTATTTCTTGCTTCATATCCCACTTTCTTCCCTTATGAAGGACTCTTGAAACACTGCATCTATTTTATCACTTCCTCTTCTGATCTGCCTTTTCAGCCCCCACAGGCTGTCTCATTTGCATTAAAAAATTTATACTGGGTCTAGAGATGAAAAATAACTTCTGGGAACTGGTTTTGTTGATCATGTTTATGTTAAAAGTGTCCAGAAAGACAGGAAGAATCATTATGAATTTGGAAGGACAATTAATAAACTTGAGGAGAATATTGCTTTTTCACTGGACCATGGCCTGTATTGTCTGCATTATTTCTGCTGTAATAGCCAGAAATCTAGATTTTGACAGTGCAATAGAGTCAGTACTATCATAGGAAGCCTCTCCAGCTGTCTCTTAGGATCAGTTGTCCTTTCCTTAGTGTCAGTTCCTCAGTGCTGTGTATAGCATCTGCATTTGGGAGCTAGAAAAAGTCAAAAGGCCTGTGAACTGTTTCATCTGAGATGAAAGTGCAATTCAGACAAGAATGAATGTAATTTATGAGCCAGTTGAAAAACAAGTCCCATTCTGAAAGTCTGTAAAAGACCACGTTTACCTTAAGGATTGAGCATGCAAAGACAGGTAGGGGATAATATTTCCCTCTCTAAGTGAGTGGAATCTCAGTGACAAACAGTGGATGTGTGTGAGCTCAGCTTTTCTGCCAGCCAAAAGATGGACTTTGCATCCAGGGCAGGACCTTGCCTAGGAGGCAGCTAAAAAAAGAGGGCTCAAAGGAGACTAAATCAAAGATAAACTCTCAACAGAGCTCTAGATAGCTCACGGGCATTAGGCCTCCGTCTTGCTCATAGCAAAACTCCAGGCTTATCTGCTTCTTGTAACAGGACATCCCCAAAATATGGTATATTTGGGGAACTTGGACAACGTTTCCTGGTATATTTGCAAGTCTGTTTAGGTTATTATCTTTCATAAATTTTGAAATTCTTTCTTCATCTTACCGCACTTGATCCTCTGAGGAAGGAGAGAAGGTTTCGACATACTGGCAGCAGAATCAGCATGCAATTGAAATTCAGGCAGGCTGCAGGGGCTCTTGCAAGAGCCAGAGCACGCTGTAATTAGAGAGATGCTGGTATTAAATGCATTACCTAAGACATTATCCAGGGCGTAGATAGACGTAGATTTAATTTACGTATTATATCACAAGTTGTAAAGAGTGTGAGATCTAGAGGTCACATTTACACCATGAATGTTCAATGGAATCATGCTCTGGTCAAGTCAGAAGCACATGTGCAGGCAGAACACACTCCTACAGACAAACAGACTCCTCCTGTTTCCAGTTTTGGATTAATATGGTTGTAGGAAAAGCTCCCTGTCACGTCTGGCATTCATCAGTCAAATGCAGGTGCAAATCTAAGCCATTAGTGGAGTTGTGTGTCCCAAGGCTGTAAAGAGTCTGTGGTTTCACTTGGTGGGGATTATGGTAGATGGACAGTTTATAAGAGAAGTGGTTTAAGTTCTCTGTCAGTAAAGGAATCTAAGGAAGTTTGTTGCCTCAGCTTTTAGAAATCTGTTTTCTTAATGCTGGTCTTTACACCCTGAATTATTTAAGATTTTTGAAGTGTTTGAAATGAAGGAATAATGACCATATCAATCAAAATGCAATGAAGGGAAGAAAAATAATGTTTTCTCTCCTTGCATGGATTGAGACCCTTTTAGGTTTTAGATCACAGCTGTTTGGGGTTAGACTCAGCTCTACTTATCCAAGCATGAGTCTCTGTGATTTCAAAGGCAACTGCACCATGATTGCAAAGGACAGCATTTGATCCACAGACCAGAAGCCGTATGCAGAATGGGATTTCATGCTTTGTAGAATTAAACCACGGCTTTGCAAACCTTCAGCAAAATGCTGTGCTCTGTAATCTGAAGCTTAGGCTGATTTTTATGACTGTGATCAGAGTTTTAAAATATGTGAACAAATTAATTTTCCCTGTCAATTGGTCATGACCTGTGGTAGCTTAGGAAGCAAGTTTGTAGTAGGACACATAATTCTGCATTAACCAGTTGGATTACATGGAATAGCCCAGGATCCAGGATCACTTCACTACCTGACTACCACTCACACTCTTGATGAATATGAATGATGGTTGCTTTTCAGAGCCAATATCTTTATAAATTATTCATGCTCTGAAAAATAATTGCAAGAAGAAACGACTGCACAACAGTGCAACAGTGATATTTTATTCATCTTTTGCTTAATAAACTAGCCACAATTAATGCTTAATTTAATTACCAGAAGCATAATAGTTAACTGAAAACATCTTTAGAATGGGATGTCTCTATTTTGTGTACCAGCTTTCTGTTCAGAAGCACTGGATATCTGCCTGCATTCAGTTTTCTGCTTGCATGTGACTTCTACATGAGACTGCTGCTCCAGCCACCAGATCCAGTTTTTATCAACTAAAACTGTTCAAAATTGCTGTGTGCCAAGATAATAATGTCTTGTACTTACGCCAAGAAGCACTCTGGTGTAGAAGAATTTTGGTGGGACATCATACACAAGATAGTACCACCAAAAGAGGAAGACATTTAAACCCAGCCACACAAGCTGAAAGAGAGTTAAACAGGAAGCTTAGTTTGTTGTTAGAAATAATCCATCTGAATTTACACAGTTCTGATAACAGTCAGTTACTTCCTGTGCTCCTGTTTGAGCAGAAAGCTGTACTGCAGGGGTGTTAAAGTTTTCAGCAGGGGTGATAGAAGCCTTTCTGGTATAAATAGGCTCTGATGTGTGAACACAGGGTACAGGAGTGGCAGTGAACCAAATACAGCAATGTGCAGCTGAAACATTCTCATCTGTCAAAGAGTTTAGGGTTGGTTGTATCAGGACTGTCAAATTACAGGTGTTTAATTCTGAGCCCAGTTAAATCTCCAAATACTACTGAAAGTTAGGGACTCTTCCAAATGGCAGTTCCACAGGCACATTAACCTATGTGAGAGAAAGACTTAGAAGCTATGCCAAAGAAGCTTGAGGTCTAAATTTAGATGGGCTAAATTACACATAGGGCTGAATTCAAGAAGAGGGTCTGAAATCAGGGAATATTCAACACAGGCCCTTTGGTGGAGTGTAGACTACTCAAAGCCAGGCTTCTCTGTAGCTGTACTGCAGAATTTTCTCCACTTACGCATCCTGAGGTGCAGGTTGTTTAGGGAAAGATATGTTATTAACTCTTAGGCAGCTACAAGTCCATCTGGCAAAAAAGGTCATAGTGAATCTGGATATTTGCCCTCCTGGAGCTGGTTGGCTGATTTCACATCCCATATTGAAACATATCTGTATTACTGCACTCAGTCTAAGTAGTTTTACTAAGTGGTCCATGAAAACAGAGAGAAAGTCTGAGAACTGGGAGAAACCCCATAAAAGGTGACATTACAGTTCCTCAACCCTCCTAACCCATATATTTTGCTAGTTCTTTGGCTCAAATAACACTGTAAAAAAACTGGGATTATTTCAGATCTTGAAAATGTAAATACTTGGAAATGAAGGGATTTCCATCAGGGTAAGGCAGTATATAGGAAATCCCCAAGTCCTCATTAAAACACCAAGCTCATCTCAGGAGTAAATACTAAGGATATTTATTAAAAGTGACAGTGGCACACTCTGCATGTTCCTGGTTTTTTTCCCATCAGTAGGAATTGTGTCTGTCCTGTTTCTGTCAAGCACTGGACAACCCTGTGCCTGCTCAGTGTGCTGTAAAGATGTAGAGGCCAAAGCAGAACACTTAGGTAAGTTTTCCAGTAATCTGTCCTTTTAGCTGGTTTCTTTATCAGTATGTCTGTTAGTTCCTTCCTTATTACCCTGACCTTGTTATAGCTTTGAGGTTCAAAACCAAATTCCTTATTTGAGCAAAATAAAGGCCTCTTACTTAATTTTTTTTAATATTTCAGTTCTGGTGAGGAAAAAAAAAAAGAGAAAAAGCCAGAATTCACCTCTTGGCAGTTTCAACTTCCTCAAGTCACTGAAGGTGACAGCAAACACAGTCACTCCCTTTCAAAGCACTCAAGTGCCACGGCTATGGGATTATGTTCCTAAATTACAAGGTCATACACAAGTACTGATTGCTCATAACAGCAGAAATACTTCTTGGAATAAAGATGCTTATATTTCAGTCACCACAAATATGCGAATTCTATGCTTTCTTTTTCTTCCTCTCGATATTTACATCTACTAACAACAGGTAGCCACAATATCTGGACTGCTCTTACATTTTGGTTTTGTATATGTTTTTAATATAACTATATATATGTATGTATATAATATATGGATAGAGGTATACCTTTTAGCCTTTGTATCACACTGTGAATAAAAAAAAAAAAAGAAAACACTAGAATATGAACTTAGTTTTCTTCAAGGAGGACTGCCTTGCTCACTCTTTAGCACTTGTAAATGCAATTGGGACTTTCCAAACTTCTAAATATTGCTCAGAATTAATTTAACCCACATTCATAGCCCCTCTATGCAAACTGTAAACAAATTCAATTAAAATACTAGTTGTCTTAATGAAGGATTAATGAAGCTCTGTTCTAAATTCTTGAATCTGACATTATTAAATATTTAATACCATCAAGACACTGTTTCAGTTACACCCATTTTCTGTTCATGAAATTGCAATAAAGGGTGATTGTTTTAATTGCTTTCTCTGTTGAAGTGCACATAGCTAAATGAGTTTTAAAGTTATTTGTTTTGCTTAACTAAAGTATTTCTAACAAAGCAAAGTTGATACATGACCATTTCTCAGTTAACAATGAAGCCTACAGCAACTGAAATACCAGAGAGCTCAAAAATTATTCCCTTGAAGCATTTCCCTGCATTTGCTGGCCAGGTTTCAGCACAATCAGGTGCATCTTTCACTGGCACAGTGAGAACTGCCTGGCACAGCTTTCTGTAGAACTTCCCACTAGACATAAATCACAATAAAAATTGTACTTACAACGACGAAGATGGACAGTCCTTCATTCTCCACCCAGTTCCCCATGGCTGCCTGAGATGTGTGTGCACAACAGCCCCGCTCTCTCTGGGACAGCCTCTGCGTCTTCTCTCATGAGGAAGTGAGAGCAAAAGGTTGCAGCACCCTGTTTCCTTTCATTCATTTGGGAAATAAGTTAACCATTTAATCATGACCCCAGTTCTGTTTCAAGTATGCTTCTACCTTCTTTTCATACGACATTTCATACCTCAAATACATATAAACTGTTGAAATAGACTTTTTCATTGTGATACAAAGGATAGAATCAATTATACAGCTGGTCAGGTTTTCTGCTAAAAATGTATTGCCACTTTATATAGCTTTTAATGCTGAAGTGTAACATAGAAAGCACAGAAGAGTTACCTCTGTCCAGACCTGTCTCTTTGTAATCACCTCAGGACTGAGATGCAGTTCCTGCTGACCTTTGTTGATAAATAATCACTAGTACTATTTCTCTTCCAGTAATTCAATGCCCACAGAAACTTGAAAGTGAAATCTAACATTCCTCTCTGTCTGGTACATTCAAACTTCACTAAATTCCTTCCAAAATGTTCTGGCCAAATCTGAGGACATATGACACTGGATAGGCTTTTTTTCATGGTTTTGAGTCCTGCAGAATCCCCTTTGATGGCCATCCCAAATGGTTCACAGAATTATAGAAGGATAGAATGGTTGGAGTGAACTTTAAAGATCATCTACTTCCAACCCCCTGCCATGGGCAGGGAGGCCACCCATTAACTCAGGTTTCTCAGGGCCGCAACCAACCTGACCTTGGATGCTTTCAGGGATGGGGTAACACTTCCAGGGATGCTGGATGTCATCAGAGGGTCTGGTGCCCATATTTTTGTTTATGGAGGTAGCCTCTGCAAGTTAAACAGTTGGAGTGGCTAGGGAAGGAAAGGAAGGGGGCAGTTCTGATTCATGGATGTCCATTCTTACAGTGAAGACAAGCCTTCTCCGCCTGATCAGGAATGGCAGCGTTCTCACTGCCGTTTTCTTCCCCCTAGCTCAGGGTAAGTTACTTGTGCCTTCCCTGGGGTGAGCCAGCACAGGTATCCAGAATGCTCTGAGCTTCAGCAGCTTTACCTTGCCTGGAAGCTCCTCAGGCACCACAGTCCCTGAAACATGGATTTATTGGCTCAGGAGATTTCTGGCAGGCTACAAACCCAGAAGGGGCTGATCTTGGATCAGCCACAACAGTTGCAAAATCTGAGATTCTTCTGACAGCCTGAACACACACCATGAAGCGGTATATTTCAGCTGCCTTCAGCCTAGCAATTATGAAATGCAGTAGCTGATCTCACTGCCTGAACTCAAAAGAAAGGGCAGAGGTGCTGGGCCCCTCCACAGCTGGTGGGTTCTGGTGCTCCCTGATGCTTGTGAGTTTTCTGTTAACTCCGAAAGTGACACGACAGGCACGGAAAACTTCACCTGTTGCTGCAAGTGACAAATTTGAGTAGAAATGGTACCAAAACCACCCACACATCACCCCTGATTTAATTCTGATTGTTTCACCTTCTAAATGAATGAAACATTTTTGCTATTACAAAAACCTGAATGCTTTATGCTTTATACTAATTTGGAAAATGCATTCAGTACAAGAAAAAACAATGTTGTCAGCTATGTATTAATAATGTAGGAGTGTAAAACTGAAGTATGGAAAAATTAAATGCTATTTCACTCTGTAAAATTTGTTTCAAGCTACTTGATTACACAGAGTGTTTTTCATCCTTCTTTGTGCTGAAAAGTTCAGTGAACACTGATCTTTTTGCAGCATAAATGTATTGCAAAAGTGTTCATGTCTCGGGGTTCTTCCTTTCCTCACAGTAGTTTAACCTCATTGCTTAGGAATTAATTTAGCTCCTCTCCTGCTCTGCACGATAATGGTCTGTGTATTGCTGCACAAATTTAATGCCAGGTGTTTGCAATAGGCCTAGGGGCATCACACAAATCCCTAGAAGGGACAATGAAACATTCTGCAAATAAAAACCCCAAAAGAGAGAATGATGTTCTCTGAAGAGAAGATAGAGTGAGAGATCCAGCTCCTCCTTCTCAGGCAACAGGGAGAAAGCCAGGTGGAGACCTTGATTAAGCTCTTTCTATTTTGTAGCCTGAAGTCTTTATTTTGAATGCTGTGCAATCACTGTTTACCAACCTTCCCTTGATTCTACACCAAAAAGGAAGAAGGAAACAAGGGACTTGTCAAGCTGGCTTTCCTGAAAAGACTCTTCACATGCAGCCTGAGGTTGTCACTCTGTGTGCTTGTCTTCACTCCAGGGAATGACACAGTCTGAAACTTCTGCTCTTTCTGTTTTGTTTACAAAATAAATGATTCCAAGCTGAGAGAGCAGAAAAGGGGATAGACATGAGCCAGGGAAAAACATGTCAATGAGACCTTACTAAGGACTGGCAGATCCCTCTAGGTCCCTGCTTTACACTATAACTCCCAATGCAATTCCCTGCTCCAGTACTTCCTCACGCTGTCTTTTGCAGTCATCATGGGAGACACATGTGCTGTATTAAAAAAAATACATGTCTGATCCAGATGCTGTTTGCCACACCAGTCTTGGCTTGAAGTCAAGCAGCACCACCACAAAACGGGCCAGAACAGCTGCACACTGCTGTGTTATAGGAAGGAAGAGACACAACCAGCAACATGTTCTAAGTACAACAGAATTTCATTTCATTAAGCAGTCATTAGTTTCCAGGAAGAGGTGGACTAAAGCTGAGACAGCATAACCTCCCCTGTATAAAGGCAGAGGTAAAATTAACCTGCCTTTGCATAAGACTGAGGGAGAGGGAGCTCAGGTGGCATCCCTTGGGCAGGGTACCAGCTTTATGATCTGCTGATGTGCTTCTGGAACACAACCATCATCTATTTGCGTGACTTCTCTTCCCAGGGCTGCAGATCCATTTCGTTTACACGTGCTGCTGATAGCCCAGGGGAACTTTTCTCTGCCTGGAGCGAGGGACTCCAGCAATGATTTCCTGCTCAAGAAAACATCTTGAAAGATGCGAGAAGAAGAATGGTGGTCTCCTGTGCCTGGCTCGGTGGTTGAGCAGCCCCGCGGTGGCCCCGCATCGCTCAAAGAGAAGGAGCTGGAATCCTGCTCGGTCCACCCCTCCGCGTGCCCCTGCCTTGTGTCTCCTTTCCTGCTTTTCCCTCTCAGCGTTGGGCTGTCAAATCCCATTTCTAATCAGCAGCTCCTGATCACAGCCTGGGAAAAGATTTCCAGGGATCATTAGCTCACTTCCGTTCTTCCTAACAGGATCTGCTGAAGCTGTATTACTCCTGACACACGTTTACATCCCCATCCACACCCAGAAATAAAGGAGGTGCCTCCCAGCCTGCTAGAGCTGTGTTGTGGTAGCTCATGCCCATGGTATCAGCATAACTCCACACCCACAGAATTATTCCAGCATCCCCCTTCACACCTAGGAACAGCCCCCAGGTGTGAACACCTCAGTGCCCAAACCCTGCAACACAGGGTAACATTACAGGTCTTTGTTGCAGTTTCTCTGGTGAAATACAAAAGAGTGCTGCGATCTTTCTTTTGCTGATTTTTCTCCCTCCCAACCCTCAGTGTGGAGGTGTGGGGGTGACCCAGCTCTGCCAGCAGATGACTGTCCACAACCCAACATCTGACAGACATGGCCTTGGTTTTATGTTCATTTTCAGTAATATCAGTAGAAAAACACTGAGGAATTATGTCATGTTTAATGGATGTGTCAAACCAATATAACATGATACAATAAATTATGGCACCAAGGAAGAGGCATTTGCTTTAAAATTATCCTTCAGCTAGATTACTAAAAAGAGAGTTCGTCTCTGTGCCAAGATTCAGCATGAAGCCTATATGCTGCTAAATCATACCTAAATTGCCTCTTATTATAGAATTACACTGCTCCAGCAACACAATTGCTGGATGTTTCCCTTCACTCATTCGTCTTGATGAAGCTTTTTCACTTCTGGATTTTCCCTGGTAACCTGGACACTTGCCTGAGACTATCCCACAAACCCCTATCTGGCTTAAATTACACTCAAGTTTGGATGAATTTCTTCCAGGTTAAATTACCACTGGATGGGTAGCTATTTAAGCCTCCTGTGCCAAGACTGTTTACAGCAATTCATTCGTACACACAACCCCCTCCCTCCTGGCATCCATTTTCAGCACTTCCAGAGAAATCACTATGAAAAACAAAATTCCAAGGAGTAGGTTAGATTAGGATTAGATGTGGAAATAATATTTCCACAATATTATTTATTCATTTGCTTTCTTGTGTTTTTGACTTCTTAAGTTTTGATGGTTTAATCATATTCTGCTATTTTCATGGCTCAGGCTTTCATGGGAGCAGCAACAGGCTGGAGGTACCACATTTCTTTCTCAGCTGGATTTAGAGATCCCCTCACACAATTTTCAGCCAAAGCTTGAGGAGCTGCATACACCTTGATCAAAATCTTTTGCATTAAGGGACACAATGTCATCTCACTAGGACTTTTGCTACCTGTCAGGGAGAGTCTGCCAAATCATACTCCAGCCCAGTGTCAGCCTTTTTTCTCCCCATACAAATACACTCCTACACATGCTAAAATTGCATTTAGTTTTATATTACACTATATATACTTATATCACTGAATAAGTGATACACTTAAGACTATAAACAGTTTGTCATCATTTTCGATCTCCCACTAGTAAAACTTCCCTTTCCCTAGAGATTTTTTTTCTTTTCTTGCTTGGAGAGACAACTGCTCACTTGCTGTTGTGCCCTGGGAAGAACAGTGATGCATGGGTTATTAAGATAGCAGCTTAAACACATAAGCCCTTGACTGCTAAAGGACACTACAGGGCAAGTGATGGATAGTTGATGGCTAATGGATTCCTGCTTGGTGCCCTTGGGGGCTTCCACTGCATTTTGGGCCAATGGTAAATTATGGTGAAGAGTCAGCTGTCACTGGCATTTGAGTTATCTGATGAGTTAATGCTACAGCACTCTGCAGCCTTCCCTGAATTTACCTTACCATCAATCCTCAAGACACAACAC